CTGCCACCACCCAGCCCACCCCTGCCACCACCCAGCCCACTCCTGCTTCTCCTTGCAGGACCCGAGCTGAGCAGCATGGTGCTGATGGAGGAGAAGGGGGTCTAGCAGCTTTTAGGGGGGACAGGGAGAACCCCCCTCATTGCACCCCCACAGCCCCATTGACTGGGGACACAGGGACCAGCCCAATTGAGCATCCCAGCTCCAGCTGCTGGGTGGGATGCCCGGGCTGAGCTGTGGGGACAGGCAGAGGGTGGGTGTGGGGGGTCCAGGACTCACTTTCCCGATGAGCTTGCCCCTCTTGCTCATGCAGATGTACTTCTCACTCTCGGCCCCCTTGATACGGACCCGGCTCCCAAAAGTGTCTGTCTCCACAATGAGCTTGGCTACGAGGAAAGGAACAAGGGACAAGTGTCCCAAAGAGGTTGTGTCACCTCCCCATGAGCTACCAGCACCCTGTCCCCTTCTCCCTGCCCCCCAGCATCCCTCCCTGCCCATCACTGGTGGGGCCAGGAGGACGGGATGTTCCCCAGCCGTGATGCTAAAGAACTTTTGTTAAAACCCAACAGAGTCAAACCAGGCGTTGGATGAAGGCTCCAGGGAGAGTAACGACCCCTTCCTCCCCCTCCACCCCAGCACATCCACATTGTCAACCATTCAATGGGTTCTCCAGGGCCAGATCAACAGCTTCCAGCACCCAACAGGTGAATTATCCTCATTGTTTCTCTACAACACAGTGGTGGCTGCAAAGGTTGGGAGCCCGACACTGAAACCAGTGACCTCGATGTGGAAAGCTGGTGAATCAGCCTTGATGGTCACTGGGCTTTGAAAAGATTTTCCCTGGAGATTTTAGATGCTGGGGATGCCAACTTGGCCTTGGTGGGGTTGGGATACCCATCAGCATGGTGTCAGGGCTGGAACAAACCCCGTGGGTACAGGTGATGTGGCTGGGGTGGGCTCTGCCCTCGTGCCCACCGTGGATGGGTATTTAAGAGGCTGATACCAGGATCAGGGGATTCTCCTCCAGGAAAAAGTTGTCTCACAGCAGGAAGAGGTTAGAAAGCAAAATCCCTAAATAAAGGGCTGGGTGGTACCAGAGGAATGGGTGATTTGGGAAGATTTGAGGTCAGGGTTGGCTGGTTTGGAGTCGTGGTGGGCTCTGCCCTCGTGCCCACCGTGGATGGGTATTTAAGAGGCTGATACCAGGATCAGGGGATTCTCCTCCAGGAAAAAGTTGTCTCACAGCAGGAAGAGGTTAGAAAGCAAAATCCCTAAATAAAGGGCTGGGTGGTACCAGAGGAATGGGTGATTTGGGAAGATTTGAGGTCAGGGTTGGCTGGTTTGGAGTCGTGCTCACACAGGAATGACTTGGGGTTGGGTTTTTTTTTGGGGGGCAATCAGTTGGGGCAATTCAAACCTCCCATTCCCCTATAAAACTCCTTCAAGAAGAAACATTGAGCTTCCCCATGAGCTGGAAAGGGGGGTGTCCCGGGCTGTGGATAAACCCCTGGGGGGATCCAGCAGCCCCTTACCGAACTTGTTGCCGTCCTCGGCGGTGGCCGTGATCCGTTTGCCGTTCACCTGGACGTGTTTGCCACTGGTCCTGCTGTAGAGCTGGTATTCCCTGATCTGCCTTCGGCTCAGCTGGTCGGTCATGGCCCCCTGGTCCCTCACATACTGGTTAAAATTAGGAGACGGTTGATTCTCCCCCTTTGTTTACAAAGGGAAAAATAAAATCAATTTGTTTTGGAGAGCCGATGGCGAAAGGATGGAGCGGGAGGGTTGGG